GGGGGGGGTGGTTGGGGGGTTGGTTTGAGTGTAGAGACAAAATAAATTGATTTTTTCAACAATTTTTTTTAATTGGAAGTTGGAAGAGAGTTTTGGAAAATGTTTTCCTTAAGTTTTGAAGGAAAGTCATTTTCTTTAAATTTGAGGAAAATGAGTTGATTTGGAAAACATTTTCCAAAACATTTAACCCAACCAAACATGAGAAAATTGGAAAACATTTTCCTTCATACCAAATACACCCTTCAACTCATCATTCATCTCACAGTCATTTTGTAAGCATCCCTCACCATCGACCCTAAAGTTTTGAGTTCGAGCAGAGCAAAAAGTGGCAGCTTCATGGTCTTCTGATTCATATGATTTTCTCTATTACTCCCTCCGTTCATAAAGAATGACCTGGTTTGACTTGGCACGGAGTTTAAGTAAATAAAGAAGACTTTTGAATCTTGTGGTCCTAAATTAAAGTTATGTCAAATGTACAAAATTGCCCTGAATCTTGTGGTTTTAAACATGTCATGCGGAAAGCAAAAAGTAAAATGTTACCAAAAAAGGAAAGAGGTCATTCTTTTTGAAACTGACTAAAAAGGAAAGGAGGTCATTCTTTGTGGAACGGAGGGAGTACTCCTCAATTTAAATTCTTCTATTCCACCCCTTGCAAAGTATATTAGCTTGCCAACTGAATCAATTAAATTAGGGAAAATTACAGAAAATTCAACTTTTAGTTTACTTATTATCATTATCCCCTATAAGTTTTACAAATCTCCAAAATTCCTTATTTTCGCACATCAGATTAGTGTATCTCGCGCATCAGATTAATGTATCAGCGTTTATATTATCGTATCTCGCGCATTAGATTAGTGTATCATGTATAAAATGTAATGTATCTTACTTAACGATTAATGTATCTCGCGCATCAGATTAATGTATCAGCGCTTATATTATTGTATCCGTTTGAAGGATTTCTGTAATTATAAACTTTTAAGGAATAAATTATAATTTTGCCTTAAAAGTATGTGATTTCTGTAATTTGCCCATTAAATTATTCATATAAAACCTTCATTTAACTAATAGACCAGTTAATTTTAAGAGCAACTTACATAAATGACTATATTTATAGGGTTATTGAAGTTCAATAGTTATAAGTATATCATTTACTAAAAATAACTACATTTTATATTAATATCTAGCTGTATTTGTTTTTTTTTTTTAAATTATACAGTGATATAATTAGAATTATAGTGAATTAAATAAGGTAACTGAATCCCTTTAATTATGTTGCTTGAAATTCTCAACTTCCCATTATTACATTAACAACTAATGATTACATAGTCAATGTGTATACTCTCGGATTCCAATTACTTTTTTAAAAAAATTGGATACATCGTATACAAATTTTTCATTTGTCGCTATTGTTCTTGTTCAAGCGTAAAGGTATTTCACTTACATTTTCTTTAGTTAAATTGATTTATTGTAATTGTGAATGAATCTTGTTTGTTTTGGTTTCAAATACACAATAAGCATAATTGTATCCCTAAGATTGCTCAATACAATTGTGTTGATATATCAATACAATTGGACAATCTAGAAAAAAAATGACAATGAACTATAATACAAATATGATTAGCCAAATGTATATGTATTTCACTCTATGCAAAAAAAAAAATATGTGTTGTATACGTATACATTCAAATCTATGTAATGTATTTATGTATCCTAATGCACTTGTATTTCTAATTGGACAATCCATGAAAAAATAACAAGTATTCAAATGTATATGTATTCCACTATGTTCAACATTCAAATACAATTATATGTGTGTAATCAAGAGAATACAATTTATTCACATATTTGATTACCTAGTCAATGCATATACTCTAGGATTCCAATTAGTTTTAAAAAAATTTGGATACATCGTACACATATTTTCTTTCTTGATGTTGTTCTTGTTCAAGCATAAATATATTTCACATAAATTTCTTTAGTTAAATTGATTTATTGTAATAGTGAATGAATCTTGTTTGTTTCGATTTCAAATACGTGAACTTCATGATAAGTATATTGTATCCCTAAGATTGCTCAATACAATTGTGTTAATATATCAATATAATTGGACAATCTAGAAAAAATGTCAAAGAACTATACTACAATATAATTATCCAAATGTATATGTATTTCACTCAATAAAAAAATAGATGTGTTGTATATGTATACATTCAAATTTATGTAATGTATTTATGTATCCAAATGCACTTGTATTTTAATTGGACAATTCATAAAAAATAACAAGTATTCAAATGTATATGTATTCCATTGTGTTCAACATTCAAATACAATTATATGCGTGTATCAAGAGAACGAAATGTATTACATCATTTGTATCAAAGTGAATTTTAACAGAATTTAATTGTATATTTGAATGCTGGTGAAAATAACTTCTTAAAATAAAACCCTACGAAAATCGAGAAACATATATATGTGTATAAATATAAACTTCATATAAAGGAGAAAAAAATGCAATTAATTAGAATATACCCAACGAAGATGAATCACAAAAATCGTTCATACAATCATGCAAAGGATCTTGAATTAGAAGGAAATTAGAGGAAAAATAATAAAAAAAGCGTTGATACATGTATATTGAAAGAGAAAAATGTTGAATAAGGTAAGTATGGACAACATAGCACCATAAAACGTATATATTGCATTTATGTAGTGATATCTTTCCTATTTAGTAATAATTATTTAAATACATATAATTTTTTTTTAAAAAAAAGCTTACAATTCATGGTTAATTAAGTTTGCTAATTAATATGTAAGTATATCCATATAGGTTAAAAAAATAAATTGTAGCTATATACATATAATATAAATTGATGTTTGCTATATTTTGTAGTTTTTCCTAATTTTTTAATCTGGCAACGTTTCAGTCTCTTTGAATGTTTGTATAAATCATTAAGCGCACAATTATCATCTAGATCTATATATATATTTACATATAACAAAGTAGTTTGCAATGTGGTTAAGTCAAGTGGCAAGCTAAAAGCCACTTGACAGTTTTAAGATAAAGGCATAAAGCTAATATATAATGTTAGCGAAAAATGTGTGTGAAAAATATTTTGAACTACTTTTGAGAGTATAATAAATTAGTTAGATAATATACATATTATTATCCATAAATATTGAATTAAAGGAATGTGAACAATAAAATTTAAAACTCACAAGTAAAAAAAATAAACAGATTTGTTTAATATCTACAAGAAGAGCGCTTGATAATTATATTAAGTCAAATGATAAGTTAATAAAAATCAATACTGATACTATAATTTTAAACAACAAATAATGTAATAAAGAGAAATATATATGAAACATTAAAATTATTTGATATTCATTATGATATTTATTATCTATGTTCATATAGAATTAATTATGGGGATGGAGAAAGGGAAGGGGAAGCGGGGTAAGGAGGGACGGGGGGGGGGGATAGATTTAATTAAGGAACAATACACTAATTGGACTTTTAAAATGTAATATTTTTAATTTGCTCAGATAAAATATTACAATCTAAAATGATTCAAATCAATATTTTACATATACTAATTTTAATTTAACAACTCTTAGTCCAATTTATTAAATATTAAATAGTAAAATTTCTATTATTTTTTGTTTGAAAAAGTAAAAACATCTCATAATAAATTGAATCTTTTCTACCAATTCTAACATCTTATAATAGAGAGAGGTTTTTTTACTGCTCCTAACATCTTATTATAAATAAGTCTTTTTTCCTATTTCATTCGGTGAAAATGTTCACAATTTATTGAGTCTTCTTCTCTGCCATCTTCAGTTTCAGGTACTTATCATTTCTCCCCCTCTCTCTTTCCTTTATTTTTTAATATTAAATATGCTTAGTCAAAACATTATTGAAATATGGTACCCAAATTAATAAGAAATATTATTGATTTTTAAATTATTATTTTTTTACTTCATATGCTATGGATAGTCGTGATAAAAAAAAATTAAACCGATTTTATACTTTTATTTGATAAAGACAATCACTAAGAAAGCAAACAACCATAAAAAGTTGGTAAGAGTTTAATGCGAGGTGGACTAAGGCTAATTGTTTAACTCATCTTAATTAAAGAAATCTTTAGTTAATGTCCCGCTCATTTATTATTCAATGACTTGTCTAAATTTAGTAAATTCTTTTTATTTCGAACTTTAAAAAAAATCCCATGAAGGAATAGTAGTACTTATTTGAAGGAATCAAACACATTGTTCTGTGGACATGTTTTTCTTAGTACTCCCTCTTTCTCGTTATTTGAATTTTGAGAATCAAATATTTTTATTTTAACTATAAATTTAGACATGAAATCTTTATGTTATTTCAAAAAAATTATAAAACACGACAATGTATAAATCAAGGACGGAGAAAATACTATTTTTCAGTTCTGTTTTCCGGCAATAATACACAATTTTGACCAAGTTTGGCTGGATTTCCTAATGTGTCACATTCTATCAAAGACAAGTATTCCACTGGACTCTTTTTTTTTTTTTTTGAGAAAATTAGATAAAATATTTATTGGATCAAATTTTTTATTTAAAATAATATAATTATCATTAATTATAAAAGGGTTATTCGATCACTTAACCTCTCTTTTCTTTGTGATACAGTGGAAAAGACAAATAAATAATACTCAATCTTTCATAAGATATACTGCTTAAATCTAACATGAGTAAAAACTTCATTTCCTAGACTGCATTTTCGCAAATCTTATTCATGTCTGTGACCTTTAATGATTAATTCAACATACGCAAAAAGCCTCTACTGATTATCATGATTCATGTGCAACAAACTTAATCATTCATGAATCCTTTTCGGATCTTCCACATACAGGGAAATAATATTTCCAATTCACTTTCCAATATCAACGGAGAAATTATCCTGTGAAGTGAAAGTAACGAGAAGTGTGTCAAATATCCATAAAGTTTCTACTGATAAAGCATGAAAATAAAGATAGTTTTTTATGAGTCTATTAAGAAACTTATATAGATTTCTACCATATATAAGACTTGACATTGTTCCATAGATAAGTATGATGATTCAAAAGTAGCATTTGGGAGAAAAAAGTATTGATCTAAAAAACTTACCTTGAACTTTCAAGCTTCGTGCAAGATGCAACCACAGTCACCGGCTCATGAATACCTCATAAGCATTAAGCAGATTTCAATGGCACCGTGTAACAAACTCAATTTTCAACACAAACACTGATATATATATTGTTATTACGGAATACAAGTTACAATGTATAATACCCACAACAAAGTAACAACACACTAATTATAGATAGATAACATAGAAGAGGGTAACTAGAAGGGGATGAGATTCTAGACCATAGAAAGGAGATGAGAGGATCAGAAAGCCAAAGCTTCACATAATTTGCATAAAACTATTTTGCTCTCCCAAGTCTCTATTTATCAACCCGGATCCCACACATAGCCCTTTTAATTCGGCTTTGGGCTGCTTTGTCAATACTGGTCTAGGCCCATTCATAACAATACCTTCAGCCCCAATAAGAACCTTGTCCTCAAGGTTCAAGTAGTACCAATTTGATATCATTGTGAGGATTCTCATTGGAGCTATTAAGGAAGCTATACATACTAACATCAGCAAGTTAGAAGCAGGTGTAGGCAGTTCTCTTGCAACTTTACCGATGAGCAGTACATTGCTCCAAATTATCACAGCGCGACTCCAACTTTCAAACTAGAACCAGGATCAAATGGAAAGCTGAACCCGAAATGATCAAGTGGAAATTGATACAACGATAATGGGAGGTTAGCATGACCGAATTCCTTGAAGTAATCAAATATAGATCTTCCCATAAGTTGGGTGCGACTAAAAATCGAAGGCAAACAAGGTAGTGCAAGACAATTATTATCAAACATGATAAGCTCACCGTACTCTCCCTTAAAATGCAGAAACTGTTTGAAAATTTTCATCAAACATATGGGATGCCAGATTTGTTGAATCAGTTATCACTGGATGTTCAACTTCCATGTCAATTTTCTTATCGGGCATTTCAGCGAACACCTTGCAGGCATAGCCGTTTGGGTTGTTCTTCAAGTCATATTTGGAGTCCAACATGGGACCCAAAGTCTCAATATTAACCAACGATGGACTAACCGCCTGAGAGTACTCCACTGCCCTATGATTCTTGTTTCTGGGAATGGGTAAGAACTCGCGTTGTTTGTCCCTAGTACGGGAGCGAAAACGAATCAGCAATTTGTCCACAAAATGGTCCCAGCCAGCCAGTTGTTTGTTGCAAAACAACCATTGATACCATTCCAAAGCTTCACCGTTGAGATAAAAGGATGCCAAGGTTAGCTTGTGCGTTTCTACGATTCCGTAAAAATCAAAATAGCATTCAGCTTGGAAAATCCACGCCTCTGGATTTTCACCACGAAATCGTCCTAGTTCCACCGGAGCTGGCCTATGACGGAGTGTGGGGGATTCAAGAGTGCCTTTCCCGTGATGAGGACGAGCAACCTCCATTGTTGGATCTCGAATGTGAGGCCCTGCCGGAACGAACTTTCGGGTAACCTCCTGTAACATATGGCGAATGTCTGCAATATCTTTGGAAAATGACTCTTTTGCCTCCTTAATGGATTCATTGATGAGAGCCTTGAGTCTTTGGTCCTCCATGAGAAACCTCTGGATGAAAGCACCAATGTAACAAACTCAATTTTCAACACAAACACTGATATATATATTGTTATTACGGAATACAAGTTACAATGTATAATACCCACAACAAAGTAACAACACACTAATTATAGATAGATAACATAGAAGAGGGTAACTAGAAGGGGATGAGATTCTAGACCATAGAAAGGAGATGAGAGGATCAGAAAGCCAAAGCTTCACATAATTTGCATAAAACTATTTTGCTCTCCCAAGTCTCTATTTATCAACCCGGATCCCACACATAGCCCTTTTAATTCGGCTTTGGGCTGCTTTGTCAATACTGGTCTAGGCCCATTCATAACACACCGACCATCCATTACTTCCATTATCTTCATCATATCACCTGACTAGATATGACAAATACTAAGATTCTTCTTATTTCGTACCGGATGGGAGAGGGGAGGCACAGACATTAATACTGTGAGATAGTAAATCATTGAAAGTAAAAGGGAATAAAACAGGTTACATTCTAACAGTTCACAATTTCATAGAAAGTTAAATACAAAGTCCCTATGAAAGTAGATATCAGACTTTATTCGTCAAATAAAATTGCAGAAACTTACATGGAGAATAAAAAGGCAAATAGGTTCATGCAAAGACAGAGGATAGACGTGTGTAGCTTCACATTGAGCACCCTATATGCTTTGAGTTTTTTGATGTTTCATATGTAGACTACAGTTTCCCGAAAAGATGTTCAGTACCCAAATACTCATGAAAGTGTTTCGTAATGAGTCTACAGCTGAAGATTCTGTTCTTCAAACAAAATAAAAGTGGTGGTTCCTCTGTGAAACATAACAAACCTGGTTAAACAGTAAAAATGTATCATGAGAGAAAAGGAATGAAGCTGACAAACTTGTTATAGCATTCCTCTAACAACTAATAAAGATACCTAATGTGATTGCTGCCCATGGATTTTGACTTGATAAACCACAATGAAGTTCTTCCATGACCTTGTACCTAGTAATGTATGAGCATCAACATAAATTTTCATGTTGTATTCATCAGCATAGACCTCCAAAAATTTGTTCCCAACAAAAAGGAAGACACAAAATTTAGAAGATTACAAAGTGCCTATAAATCCTATATGAAAATTTATCTGACATAATTGCCTGCCGCTCATGGGATGAGGCTTAATTTACCACAGAGACGTTCTAGCATGACCGTGGAACTAGTAACCTATAAAAAAACACATAAATTTTCATATCAAGATATGAAAATTTAAAAATTAGAAGAAGAAACAGAGACTTACATAAGTTCTGAATTTTCCTCCCATCTACTTCAATATTTGGAACACGGGAAATGTTGGACTAGTGGGAGTTTGAGCTACTCCGATTGGTGCAACTTTCTTCTAACTCTGGGCAGCCTTCAGTTTCCAGGTACAGTAATTTGTAGCCGTTTGTACCCCATGAGCCTCTATGAAACATAACAAACCCCGTTTAAACAGTAAAATTGTTTCGTGAGAGAAAAGGAATGCAAAAAAGAACTTGACAGACTTTTTATAGCAGTCCTTTAACAACTAAATAAAAATACCTAATGTGATTACTGCCCGTGGATTTTGACTTGATATACCACAAGGAAGTTCTACCATGACCTTGTACCTAGTAACCTATGAGCAGCAACATAAATTTTCTTGATTAAACTTCTTTTTTTTTTTTTTTTAGGAAGGTAGTGTTGTATTCATCAGCACAGACCTCCGAAAATCAGTTCCCAACAAAAAGAAGGATAGAAATTAGTAGATTACAAAGTGCCTATAAATTGTAAATGAAAATTTACCTAACGTAATTGCCTGCTGCTCATGGGATTTGGCTTAATTTACCACATCGATGTTCTAGCATGACCTTGGAACTAGTAACCTAGAAGGAAAAAAAAAACATAAATTTCATGATTAAGGGTGTGTTTGGTATGAAGGAAAACATTTTTCGGAAAATGTTTTCCAATTTTCTCATGTTTGATTGGGTTAAATTTTTGGAAAATGTTTTTCAAATCAACTCATTTTCCTCAAATTTAAGGAAAATGACTTCTCTTCAAAACTTAAGGAAAACATTTTCCAAAACTCTCTTCCAACTTCCAATTAAAAAAAAAATTGTTGAAAAAATCAATTTATTTTGTCCCTACCCTCAAACCAGCCCCCCAACCAACCC